CTCGTTCTAAGTTAGGTTTGCCTACTGGATTGAATGGGCTTCCACGCTGGCACTAGTGGTAAAGAAACTGCCTGCCAAAGCAGGAGACATAAGAGATGCAGGCTCGATCCTATGGGTCAGGAAGATCTTCTAGAGGAGGGCATGGCAACCCACTTTTGCATTCTTGCCTAGAGAATCCCACAGAGAGAGGAACCTGGTGGGCTACAAACAGTCCATGGGGTCACAAAGAGTTGGACATGACTGAAGTGACTTAGCACGCACGCAGGGACTGGACTGAATACATGGGTATAATTATGGAATAAATACTTTGGACATTCATATTCAATTCCTTCATATGCTGAATTTTCTAAATCAGTTTCCACATCTTTAAGAGGTACATGCTGACAATAAGTCAAGAAACAGGATATTGAGGAACCACATGTGGTTATTTTGACATCTTAACATCCATAGAAATGATTATTTATCTGTTGCCATATAAGGCAATTAAAACCCAAAAGACCAAAACATTTAAAAAACTCATGTATATGAAGAAATACCAAGTGAATAAGGTTAGTTAGCTACAATTTTGCTGTTCCTTCCATTTCATGATATAAAATTTCTACCATGTTGGTACCAACACAATGCATAATATAATGCTTCCAAAATTCCACTGTTAACCCAGGACATGAACAAGTCATGTGCAGTTTGGCTCCTTTGGATGAAACTGGAGGTTGCATTTAAAGATAATCAGATTAGGGTGTTACATGGGAACAAAGTGGCTTAATACCAGGAAAGGGAATGGGTTACCTAATGCCACTTTGCTGGAGTCAAGCAGATGTCATCAGTAACATTTTCTATGTCTGATTGGGCATTCACAGTACTAAGTTAAACAGCCTGTAAAGAAAAATAAGACATGGGACCTGCCTTCAATTTAATAGTCCATCACAGAAATAAATATGATGTCAATAGCTATGTGATAAAAAGACTGTCACTGTATCATGTGTTAACTTGTTTCAACTGTGTCCAACTCACTGTGACCCTGTGGACTGTAGCCCGCCAGGCTCCTCTGTCCATGGGATCCTCCTGGCAAGAATATTGGAGTGGATTGCCATGCCCTCCTCCAGGAGATCTTTGCAACCTAGGGTTCTAACCCGTGTCTCATTATTTCCCCTGCATTGGCAGGCAGGTTCTAGTGCCTGCTTACCACTAGCGCTACTTGGGAAGCCCTTACTCTATCATAGTCACATGAAATGCAGTGTAACAATCGTGTCAGTATTGACAATGATCACATTGTGCCACAGGGGCTCCTTTAATCCTTTAAAATGTCTTATGAAAAGTTATCCTTACTGTCATCTCCACCTCACAGAGGGGGAACTAAAGCACAGACAACTTGTCTACATGTGGAAAATGACAGAATTTGAATGCACGTCTGGGCAGGCTGGTTCTGGAGTCTGTACTTCTAACCACTGCTTATACTGTTTCTCTTATGACTAACTGTGTAATTAGCTCTGCCTGGTATGATTTAATGGTGTTCTCTAAATGAGAGAAATAAAAGAAAGAAGGAAAGGGTGAAATATCACCATTCTCTGCAGGCAGAGAGAACTCCATGAGCAACAAGACACATGGGTTAACATAACATGAGATGCTCTGAGAATCAAAAAAGGTCCAATTCAGTTGCAGGAACCAAATCATGAAATTCTTCTGATGCCACTCTGGAAAGTTTGAGTTTTGTTCTGCATTTAATAAAGTCCACATAATACTTTAATCCAGGCAGGTAGATGATTACTTATTACTTCTCGCTTTAAAAAAATATTCAGAAAGCCATGTGAAAATGGTTTGGTGCTCAGTTATATCAGAGGCAGATAAAAGCTTAGTACAGTTAGGGAACGGTGATTGAATGAACTCGACCAGTGGCAGGGAGACAACTGGTTTGAAGATGTAGTTCAAAGAGAGATAGAAGAAATCTTAATGACCAATTTTATCATTAGGAATGTTGTAGGAGAGAAGGCCCAGAGAACTGGAATTATGACATAAATGGCTTTAGAGTGAACTTCGTAAAAAGGTAGGGAGTAACTTGATGCTTTTCATTTCTTCAGTTTTATTATGAAGGACCGATGAAGACGAAGCCCTCAGTTGGGTCAGGACATCCAGGAGTGCAATGAGACATACAGGTGATGGTTCCCTGCATCTAGTTAGAAACTTGGAGTATGAACTCGGGAGTCTTCAGCTCCCAAAAGCAAGAGGAGTGGATGAGAAACTGTGAGAAAGGGCTAAATCCTGAGAAAGATGAGTAAACGTGGGCAGAAGAGGAGGATTCCACAGACACCAGGTGAGCAGTGCAAGGGGAGGCAAGGAGGATCAGCAAAGGATATGTATGTGTTTGCGTAAGTCGCTCAGTCATGTCTGACTCTTTGCAAGCCTATGCCCGTACCTCTGTTCTTGCGAGTCTCCAGGCAAGAACACTGGAGTGGGTTGCCATGCCCTCCTCCAGGGGATCTTCCTGACCCAGGGATCGAACCCGCGTCTCCTGCGGCTCCAGTACTGCAGGTAGATTCTTTACCACTGAGCACCGGGGAAGCCCAATTAGAGACAACACAGGAAGCCCATGTGTGAAGAATACTAAAACTGTTTATCAGCAAAGAAAAAGCTAAAATAGTGTGGTCACTACAAGGTATGGGCAGAAAAACATTGTTTTGGTTTTTTGACTGCACCACACGGCATGTGGAATCTTTGTTCCCTGACCAGGGATTGAACCTGTACCCCCTACATTGGAAGCATGGAGTCTTATCCACTAACCACCAGGGAAGTTCAGAAAAGGACTGTTTTGCTTCTACCCTCTTTGTAGGTGGGAGAGACTTGACTTTTACAGGCTGAAAGGAATGTTCAGTGGACAAGGCAACCTTGAAGACAGGAACTGCTGGATGATACAAAGTTCTTTATCAGATGAGAGTGCATACAATCAAGATGGTATCCTGAGCATCTTAACTGCAATTTGCTGCCTGAGGGAAATGTTCATTGTTGTTAAAGTCTACTGTGGGCAGTGGGACAGGATGAACCACTTTTGCAACTGTTGAAATAGTTCAAAGAATACAATGTTCTACTGTTAATATAAAGTACACAGAGACAGACATCACAGAGAGGATGATGGAAGGTGGACGTATATACCTGCGGTTGACCTCTGTACAGTGTAGATGGAGGCTTGGGAGGGAGACACCATCCCTGGGGACCAGGCAGTCCTCATGGCCCCTAACAGGGCACCACCAAAGTTCAGACCACAGCTGCTCAGGTTACAGGTTGAAACCCCAATATTTTCTCTTCAGGTTTGTCATGAGTCACAATGAAAGTCTGGACACTTAGGTCTTTGGGGAAAGATTCAGATTTTAAATTGTGCATTGGAAAGATGACTGACTAAAGCAAAGTACTCTCTCATTCCAGCCCAGGCCTAGGACACTGGGGCATCTCTAATAATTGACCTAGAACCTTGGGCAAGATCTTTATAATAAGCAGATGTATGGATATAGAGTACAGACAGGTAGATGGATTCATATATTTATACACACATATACACATATGCAAACACAAACACGTGATGAATTTAGTTAATGAACATGTGTATTAACTCAATTATTTCTATTTTCCAGAGTGCACATACATTTCTAATCGCAATTACAAGTATTTTTACATATATTAGACTCCAAGAACATGTACTATTAAATTACAAATATAAATTACGTAGTACACAGTATGTGTTCAATAAATGTCATTCCCTTACAATATACACTTGTCTTCTGTCACTCTCTGAGCATATAATGCCATATCCTGTGTCTTTTGAATTAACTATGTTATCTTCTCAGCTATAGGGTATGACTCTAGAGGGCTTTATTCTCTGTATCTTTACTTCTTGTCTTTACTTTCTGACCACCATGTTTAGAGTGCCTTGTTGGAAATACGAGAAGGCTTACTGGATAAATGGAGAGATATCATTACTTTTTGCCCCTAGAGAAATTTTAATCAACATGAGACAAGCGAACAGATCTCTACCCTAGACTATCATTTACTGTGTTGACTCTTTCATGGAAGGTCGACCATGAGTTTCTCAAGCCCTTGTTTTACACAGATGTATTTTTTTTTTTAAAGCCTACAGTGCATAGTACTGTGCTTGGAAGACTTATTGGATGTTCACTGAGTGAATGAATAAACGACCCGTTAAGCTGACCGAGTATAAAATGCAGTTACATTCCTTCTATCCTCTAAGTTGGTCTTAAATGAGACCTTCATTCTGACTAATTCTTTAGAGACTGAAAGACAGAAAACTGAAAGCCCTGGAGAAATCTAAGATAAAAGACTGTGAAAATAAGAATAATAATTATTCTTCAGTTTGTTGGTTCATTGCAGGATGGCCAAGGTAAAGGAAAGGAATTGGAAAGTAAGAAGAAAGTTTCAACCAAAGAATATTCAGAACGACAGACTTTTAAAGATGCTTGATTATGTAGCTTAAGTTTGATTTTTTTCAGAGGAAAAGTTTAGGCTATATTAATCGTTCTAAGTAAGAGTCTGCAAACTTCCAGATGCTTATTAAAATGGAGTATGAAAGTACAATCACCGTGTTACTAACTTGATTCCATGTGTTACCCTTCCTCTGAGAGCCAGAGGCAAGCATAGAAGTTTTATTAATGTTGAAATGAGCCTGGGCACAGGCCACAATTAGCAGAATTGATGCTCTAACCCTAGAGAAACACAGACACTTCTCCCAGACCAGTCTGTACTCCTCCCTTCACACCGCCCTTTCTCAGGTGAGAGAGGGGGAGAAAGATGGAATATGGACAGAAGCTTTGTAAGCATGGGTGACACCACTGAAATCAGAGTCACTCGCAGGAGGAAAAGAAATGCACTGATGAGAAAAGTCTGATTTACATTTTTGTTTAGAACAAAAAGAAAGATTTGAACATTTTTCTCCAGTACTGATTTCAGAGTTCAGAGATACCTTAGCAATTAAGAGATAGAAAAAGTGATCTACTTACCCATTCTGTATGGCAGCTGTGGGGTCATAGGTCAGGGCCATGCCAGCCTGTATAATGGGGGGAAGAAGGGAGAAAATGGGTCTTAATGTTTTTATGGTAATGTCGAAAGCATTCAGTACACACACAGACTTTTTATCTTTACATTTTATGATTTAAGTTTACTTATTCCTATATATTTCTCCCCCCTTACTGCCAAAACTAGCATTTTTACTACCTGAACACCAGAATCCACCATTGAGTTATGGAATTTATATTATATATCCAGACAAACCAAAGAACAATGCATTTTGGATAGTCTTCATTTCTACTTCATATGCCATGCACTGTCTAATCTGGTAGCCTTTTAATTTCTCATTCTTTTCAAGAACACCTATTGTATATCTCTCAGCATGGAAAAAAAAAAGGTAATAATGGATCCTGGGGTAAGAGTTAAAATAAATGCTACTTAAAATGCATTTGACCTTTTAGAAGAAAGTGTTAAGAAATATTTATTTTAAAATAGACTGCATGCCTCAGGGTACGCAGGCAATGAATCACAGGGTGCTGTCCAGAACCTTGCTGGTTGGTACCTGTCCCACTCAAGACTGTAGAAGGGGAAGGTCATTTGCATGTGATGGAAACTCTTGGCCTTGTGGCTAACAAGGAGGTAGTTTTGTTTTGTTTCCAAGGTAACACCACCACTGAAAAACTACATTTCTGTAACTGAAAGTCATTACAGAAAGGAATATAAATTTGATGATAGCTGACTGACATCTACATTTCCCCTTGATGCACACCATCACATCTCATCAAGACAAGTGAAGTAAAAGTTGCTCAGTCGTGTCTGACTCTTTGCGACCCCAAGGATACAGTCCATGGAATTGTCCAGGCCAGAATACTGGAGGGGGTAGCCTTTTCCTTCTCCACAAGGACCCTAGAATAGCAGAAGAAATATTTTCTCCATTTGATGGATGCAGACATGGAAGCCTGGAGGGGTCAAGTGACTTGTTCAAGGCCACAGGTTTGGAGGCAGAATCAGATTGCAACCCAAATCTTCTGCTGGGCATGCCTGTCCATAGCCCCACTGTGACACAGACTGGGATTCTGCATGAGCCCCATGGATCATCTCTCTGTGGCCATGTGGATGCACCACTCTTTGTTTTCCGGGACTGTCAGCCTAGTTATCGCTTGTGGGCAGAGACAGGATGAAACAGAAGGCTGACTAGGCTATCTAGGCTGGACATTTTTTTTTCCCTTTTTTGAAACTTAAAAGTAAGTTAATCCAACGTCGTCGAGCACCTGGCTTGATGAAAGTGAAAGTGAAAGTTGCTCAGTCGTGTCTGACTCTTTGTGACCCCATGGACTATACAGTCCTACAGACTGTAGACTATACTTACAGAATTCTCTAGGACACAATACTGGAGTGGGTAGCTGTTCCTGTCTCCAGCGGATCTTCCCAACCCAGGAATTAAACCAGGGTCTCCTGCATTGCAGGCGGATTCTTTACCAGCTGAGCTAACAGGGAAGCTGGCTTGATAATGCACTACTGTTATATAAGATGCAACCATTGGGTGAGGTGGAGTGTTGGGTAAACAGGACCTCCTGTTCATTTCTTTCACAATTTCCTGTGAATATGTAATTGTTTCAAAATATTAAGTAAGAAAAAAATAAACTAGCTTTGAAGACTTTTGTAGAGGGCTAGGAAAACCATAAAAACTTAAAAGAAAAAAGAGTTTTTGTGTTTGAGTTTCTTTTCCAGTGTGGTTGAAGGTGGTTTTCCTAATTCAGCTCATTGAATCCTAAGATTTAACACATACCCAAAATGAAAATTCTCAGACTTTCTAAGATGGAGCCTGAAGTCCAGGATGGCCTGCTACATTGAGCTTAGATGCATTGTCTTCCCTAAATAATAATTTAAAACTTATTATTAAGATTGGTATGAGGAACAAAAGTGTAGAACCATCTATAAATGGAATTGGCATAGAGGAAGCATACATAATTGAAATGAAGTTTGCAAACAAAGCTGAGACAGAGATTACTGGGAACACAGGATTACTGATAACTCTGGCTAAAGAAATACAATCTGATAGTGTGACAAGCTGAGGCCCAGGAAATGAGACGAGAATAAAAGAGTAGATATGAAGACAGATTTCTCCCACCTTAGGGGAAGCAAAGATACTGATGTCAAAGCATGTAGATTCTAAATCTAAATTCTCCCCTGGATGGGCTTCCACCATGTGAGGGGTGGGAGACTGGCCTGAGGCTGAAGACCCCCCAGAAGAGACCTGTCCAGGCTAGACTCCACGGTTTTGGGTCCTCAAGATGATCCGTCTGAGATGAGATTTCCTGCTTAGAAACCCTAAGCGTCTCTCCTGTAACTTACCCAAGATGTCAGACAAAAGACAGAATGAAAAAAAAAAAAACAGAACAGGCTGTGTGCTCAGCAAAGATAGTGTTAGTTAATAGGAGATTTAGATGATCATGGTATTTTCAGACCAAATTGTTTAAATCCCAGGAAACTTGTAGGTAGCCAAGTTTACTCCTTTTCCTTGAACTGCAGTGCTCAAAGACCAATGCTCCCCAGCCTTTCTTGACTTGTAAATTGTCATCAATATTCTCTTTTTATGCCATGTATATTTGTTTTGGCAATGTTAAGAAGGATTTTTTTTTTTCTTTCACATTTGACTTGAATTCCTCATGGATTATAGTTAACCAATCAGGTCTAGTGAAGAACATGGTAATTATCACAAAATTCTATTCCTTTGTTGGATAGTATTTGATAATCAGAAAGTTTACATTGGCCTTTTCCTGCATCTTAAATGCCCATTCATCTTTTAGAAGATGGAAAGAATTAAATAGAAAACCATATGATTTAGTGGAAAGGACACATGTTTTGGACCTGGGTTCAAGTCTTAGCTCTGTTGCTTTCTGGCACTGGGGCCTTGAGCAAGTTATTTCATTTATTTGAGCCTCAGTTTCCTTAACTGTTATATGGTACGGCAACACCTATATCATACGATTGTTGTAAAATGTGAGACATTACATTTGTGAAGTGCCTTGCACAGTGCCTAGACACAAGACACGCATGTAAATATTATTATAACACAAAGTAACACATGGTAAACATCCTGGAGAGTATGGATGAAGTGGTGAGTGGATAAGCCGGGGTGCTCTGGGAAGGCACCTGCAGGAGGCAGAGTTCAGTGGAAACTTGAAGATGCTTAGGATTTCCATAGATGGAGACAAGAGGTGGAGGCCAGCTCAGGCAGAAGGTTATCATGGAAAAAGTCTTGTGAATAAAAAGGGCAAGGCGGATAGTCCACTTGGGATAGAACATTGGTGAGAACAGTCAAAAGTAAGATTTGGAAGGAAAGGAGGAAGATCTTGATTGCTTGGCTCCTATTGGTAGAAAAATGATACAAAGAGGGCTGGGAGACGTCCCTGATGGTCCAGTGGTGAAGAAGCCTTGCAATGCAGGGCACACAGGCTCAGTCTAAGACCCCACGTGCTATGGAGCAACTAGGCCCTCAAGCCTCCACTACTGAGCCTACTTGATACAGGGAAGATTTCACACACTAGAGACACCTAATACCTGAGGTCGTCAAATAAATAAATAAATGTTGCTTAAAATGAGAGACTGGACAACAAGAAATAGCATGATCCCCCAGAAAACAGAGGAAAACTCCCAAGCGATGGGTGACTAGGGTAGACACTGGGGGACAGGGAGGTAGAGAGAAACTAAGGCACGGATGAACCAAGTTTCATCTACTTCACAATTTTGTCTGGCGTCAGTCCTGCCTCTGAGGATCTTTGGCAAGAGGACACCACCAGAGCTCAGCATTTGGAACACTGGGTTACAAGGCAAGACATGGGTTAAGCAAAGGAGCGTTGGAGCATAACCCGCTGGCTGAATCACAGCACAGTAACAATCGGGCATCACCTGGTTTTCATTTCATGTGTAACAGATTGTCGAATCACAATTCTAACATGGTCTTAATGCAGATTTTGCATTCCATTTCCTTTCTTCCTTTGCACAAGGTAAAAAAGAAAATCAATTTGCTGCTCTGTCTAGCCACCTTTATACTGAACTAGGACCATGAAATTGTCATTATGTAATTACCAAATTTTATGGCATGTTTACAAACTCCAAAGTCACAAAAAAGGTAAAATAACTTGGAACAAAACGAAAATGTCACACCACGTAAGTAGAAAAGTGATGTTTAATTCTCTCATTCTCTTTTGAAAAGGATTTTTATTAAATTCACAGATATTTTCCATATGTTAAGTTCACATTATTTGTGGATTAAAACATTTATGATTTACTTCAAAAAGAAAGGGAGTTTTTTTTTTGGGGGGGGTCATTTTTCCAGTAGCAGCTGAGTTTTGGCTTAGTATTTCAGTCATAATAGGGTTATTTCTAGTCTTTCCAGAGTCTGTAAGAACTAAATAGGAACTTTAAAATGTAGTTTACAGGAGTCAATTAGTTGTCAATGAAAAAAAATGTTGCCTGCCATATCAGTAAACAAAGATCTTGCAACCATCAAGCCATTACATTACAGCTGTCCTGGTGAGTCCTGTGGGAACTCAGGATGAAACGGGATGCCCATCATCGAGTCATCAGTCACTGCAGCCTCCCACACATGTGCACCGTGAGGAGACTCGGGATGAGAAAGCACAGGATACTGGCCATAGACAGCTGAGGTGCATGTCAAAGGGGTGATTTCAACGAGCCCTGAAGTTTTCATCTTCCCATATAGAGGAAGGGGGCTTCCGCAGCGGCTCAGCAGTAAAGAATCTGCCTGAAATGTAGGAGACGCAGGAGATACCGGTTCGATTCCTGGGTCAGAGAGATCCCCTGAAGGAGGGCATAGCAACCCGCTTCAGCATTCTTGCTTGGAAAAATCCATGGACAGAAGAGCCTGGTGGGCTTCAGTCTATGGGCTCACAAGGAGTTGGACGCATCTGAAAAATGGCATGGCATGCCACATACAGAGGGAAGCACTAAATTCCTTACATTGAGCCACCTTGTTTTTCTTAATTAAAGTTAATCTTTTGATGTTCTGACTAC